TGATCCTGATTGGATGTGTGCGGAGAAGGGAGTCGTATGACAGGAGGTGCTGTTTAGAGGAATGAACACCAATCAGAGCTCGCCTCAACATCTCCGCAGGGGGAGAAAGGCAAGCTGTGTGTGGCGAGCAGGACAAAGCCGAGGGCCGTGAGAGAATGGTGCGAGGCTGGTGGCGTGATTACTAATGAGCGACACCTGCAAGATGCGCAGCACCAGTCTTGTATCTCTCACTCGACTACAGTGGAGATATGAGACCGGTGTGTCGCGGGCGTCCCACCGGTAGCTCACCCCAACACTCCGCCTCGAGCGTCCATGGCCACGAGTCCCTCCGCTCCCTGCTCCTCCCCTTCTGTGGCGGACGGCAGCAGGCTCCGGTCCATGGCGAGCAGCGGCAACTCGCGCACCATCCTCGATGGCACCGCGGATTCCCTACAGCGGTGAGGTCCCTCGGACAGCGCGTTCCTCCCTCTTCCTGGGTTTCGGCACCAGTGTAACCACAAGTTCACACCGCCGCCGGCGAGAGCGAAGCAGTGGAAAGATTTGTGGACGCTCTGATGCTCTGACGTAGATTGAATGCGTGATCTTTTTTTAAACTCTGTTTAAAGGGGCCGCAAAGCAAACAAGCATGTCGATCGTTATTTTTGCAGAAAATTGATCGATGGAAATAACTTTAAAATTATAGTGACATGTTTTCTAATAAAATAAACAAATTAAGCTATATGTGGTGTGGCTTTTGTGTTCATGGTTAAGTGCTATTATAATTTGCATAGCACGAAAATCTTGCCTATAAATAGTGTTGCTATTATCAAATTCAAATGATCACCTCCTCTATTTTGCTTGGGAACTAATGTGGCCGGAACCAAAGTTTACCGGACTGCGTTCTCTGAGATTCTCTCAAACGGAGCACTTCTACATTCCGATTGGTTGCCGCCGGTTGCCGCCAAACCACGTCATTACTTATTACCATAAATTTGAACTGATTTCTCCTCGCCGCTCTCGCCGGAGCTCGCCGCCGGCTCATTGAAAATGAATGACTTCCAGCCACTTTGACGCTCTCGCCGGCGGCGGTGTGAATGCACAGTAACAAGGTTCAGGGAAAAAGGAGGTAGGAACTGGATATCAATCAAAGTAAAACTTTATTTAAATAAAATAAACAAACAAAATACCTACCCAAATAAAACGTAACTACTGGCTAGAAGCCCCTTGCGGACAACTGTTGGCTTACCAAAATAAAATATAAATTATAAACAAAAGCAGGCCTGTTCCTCTCTCGATCATCCACTCCGTCGCTCGCCCATTATGCTTCAGCTCCTCCGTGAGAGATGCGAGACCGGTGTGTTTAACAGGTGCTGCTCATTAACAATTGCACCACCGGCCTCGCGACGTTCTCTCACGTCCCTCGGCTGTCCTGCTCACCACAATAATTGACCCCAAATTTTTAATAGTAGTGAATGATACTATTGTTCATTTGATCATAACCATTTAATGTACATTAACTTTAAAATATTAAAAAAAGTGTAGATAGTCATTAACGTTAACAAAAAAATAACAAATTCATTGTTAGTTTCATATTAGCTATTGCATTAACTAATACTGATAATAATAAATAGCTTTGTTTTAAAGTGTTAACATTATTTATGACAGTATATTGGATAACACCTAGCGTCATATGCATGGACTACAGTTGTGTAATGTGATTTACTCCCCATTTTTAGCAGGATGGATGTAGGAGTACTTCAGTCTCTTTTTGGCAACAGCGTCTGTAGCTATAGTTGCTCTTCTTTTGCATTAGGGCGATGTGGATCAGCTGACTGGCATTTGAACATGCACTTTTGGCAGAGATGCTCAGCAGCACCATTTGACAGTGGGTTGGTTTAGATGTGTGAGCTCTGGTTTACTCTCTCTGATGATGGACGCTTAAAGACAGTAGAGAGTGGGAATAGAACCCAAAAATAGCTGCATTGTTTGGTTTGTTCTACCAACAAAAAGAGAACAGCTGTAGACGCCCCTTTGCTGTGAATATTTTATGAAGGCTTATGGATTGGCTCTAGTGCTGGTACCCTGTTTAGTGGAGGGTTAGACGACAAGAACCTTTTTACCTATTTTTACCTGTTTTACTATTTTAGGGAATTGCAAGTCCAGTGAACCTTGAAAGATTGGCTTTTGAAAAGCGACAGAAGGAACTAAAGAAAGCTGTGCATTTTCTTTTTAGAAATAAGCCAATAATGAGTCAAAACCAGCTTAATTTAATCTTTATTTTCCCTGAAAGGAACCTAATATCCACTATGTCCCATTATTTAAATCAATCAGAATTATTTAACTGGTCTTAATTTTTATAATTTAAGGCAGTGGTTCTCAGGGGTCCACTAGGGGGCCTCTGTAAATGTCCAGGGAACCGTTAAGTCTTAAAATGATTTAAATTATAGTTATGTTATGTTTTCTTTATTAGTCACAAGCTTGAAATGTATGTGTGTATATATATATATATATATATATTTTTTTTTTGCAGTTTTGTTTCTAATTTCTTTTTTTTTCTTTTTCTTGAACCTTGGTACAATAATTTGTGACCACCCTAGTTGTATGACAAAATATTCAGTTATTTGTATATTTTAATTTTATTTTACCTTTCTTAGTCTATTTCTGTTTACGTTGTATGTATTTAATTGATTGTATTATGAGTTTGCACTGAAAAGTGCAGCTGCATCTTTTATTTCTTTCTCATTTACTGTTAAGGTTAGTTAAATTCATTAAAATTCATATCAAAGAGTAATTTATGTTTTAATGTCCAAATAATTTTTCAATTGATTATTTATTTTCATTAATACTTTTAAGATGCTTATGTCATGAAGTCCAATTGTGTGGAAGAATTTAGTTAAATCATTTCTGTGCATATGAAGAGTTCAGATGCAAAAGCCTCTAAGTGCCATTTGAAATTTTCTTCTAAAATGATCATTTTTATCAAGCTTGTATATTTAAGTTCGGTAATTTCACTTAAATGGCAATGAAGATTACCTATTAATTGTCATTTAAGTGAAATTACTGAACTTAAATATACAAGCTTGATAAAAATTGTCATTTTAGAAGAAAATTTCAAATGGCATTTAGAGGCTTTTGCATCTGAACTCTTCATATATTTATTTACTTATTGTGATTTTGATTTAAGTATTATTTCTGAAAATGTATGAATACTTTGTACTTCTGAGTCATTATGACACTTTTAATCAATGTTTTTTAAGAGGAAAATTTACAAAGAGGATAATTTAAGCAACCACTAAATCTCTCTCTCTCTCTCTCTCTCTCTCTCTCTCTCTCTCTCTCTCTCTCTCTCTCTCTCTCTCTCTCTCTCTCTCTCTCTCTCATTTACTTTAAACAGCTTTTAAACTGCTTACAGACTGCTCGTGCTCGGGACCTATAACAATTGCTTGCCCTGCAACATTACGTGTGGTTTGGTGTCATGTGTATAGCTCTGAATCTACTGAGACCTGGTCATGCTTTGTCCTCTCTGTAGATCCAGTAAGCGCTCTTCGGAGTGTGAATCCAACCGTGCACCTCCAGGTCACGGTTGATTACGTCTTTTAAGATTTAGCAGAAATTTCTTCTACTGTCCCAAAGGTAAGGTCGTCTAGAGAGATCTTGCCTCGTTGCTTGAATCAGTCTGCCACTGTCTTTCCTGTTGATATTCCTTTCTTGTGTGCAATTCTAAAATGTATTAAGCTCTCGAATCTCGAATGATTAGCTATAAATACGTCTATTGTGCCGTGTGTAGACTAATGAAGAATCGGGAGCTGACCTTTTTAATTTAGCAAAGTATTACAAAAATAGTATCATAAAGCATGATTTATTTACTGCAGAGATGACAGGGATTGCATGCATCAATTAGACATTGCTTTGATGTGAACGCTTAACATGATTTCATAGCAGTTAAGATACAGCCAAGAGCTTCCAACCACATTTCATCAGCTGCAAGCGGTTTATCACGTGTGCTCAGGCGTCAGAAATGTGTTGCATGCGTGCAGCACCATGGACAGCGCAACTTGTTCTCTGTCCGTGGTGCTAGTACTTAACAGCTGTGCAAAGTAGGCAAATGTAATTTTCTTTGATTAAACTAATGAGGAGGACTATAAAAAGCGATTAGTCCTTTATCTAAGGAGCGGTTAAAAGTTGAATGGGCATCATAGCAGCCTTAAACTTCGCCTACATGATGTAGATTTGATATATTTTCAGTATTCCATGTATCTTTGCTCATTTCTAAAACATTAATTGTATAACACTTATTTTTCCGTAATTCATGTGTAAATGCTTTTCTAGCATTAAACAGTTTTTGTATTCATTTTCTCAACAGATGCATGCGTGGCCTTGCAGTGTACATGTGCCTTCGCCATAAAATAAATTCACGTGTTTGTGAACTGTAATTATAAAATATCAGTCTGTCTTAAACCATAATGGCCAAATTATGTTCCTCAAAACGGGTATTATACTGTGTTGATCGTTTTTTCCCTGTTTTATTTCGATTAGCGAGTAAACTTGGCGCGATTCTATCTTCCCAAACGCGAAAGGACACATTGTGCCTAACAAACTAGACTCACCGGTTTCCTCATTCCAAACACTCATACGCGTTACAAATAACAATGTTGAATATAAACCTATTTTATGAGCCACCTGCTCTCAACACTACATTCGCTGGATAGTCTTTCGAAAGTATGCCATAACGAGATGCCACAGCACTTCACTGCGTGTTTTAAGATTCGTCTAACGTGTTTCCCCCGCACGCCGTCACAGTTTTGTCATGATTGTATTTTCTGCTCATTTTTTTTCTCTTACCGTCTCCCGTAGATTATTTTACACATGGCAATGGCACTGAAGAAAAGGGGAGTTGCCACTAGACACAGCTCGAGAGCAAAATCATTCACGTGTGTGCATCGAACATGCTCCCTCTCGTGAGACGCAGGTGAAAGGGACTCTGAACTCGCCAGCGTCAGACGCGTCAGTGCGCGCTCACATCCGCGTCGCTCAGTTGGAGTTCTTCTCCGCAATTCAGGGAGCGTGAGGCAATGCGAATTCACCTGCTGGAGCACTGTGATCACGCTGCGGGGGAACCGAAGTTGATGTTAGAATAATAAAATATGGTTTTCGCCACATAATGTTTGGGATTAAGGACTCTCAGTTTTTATGTGGATTATTGAGAATGCAGATCAATTAGAAACATCCAAGAGCAACTGAAGGAAAGCGATGCAACTCGCTCCCTTCCACCAAACCTCGCGACGAAAGAGGTTTTTTTATTTTTCTTTGGGAATATATGCGCAGAGTGGAAAAGGATTTGGGAAGATTTGCGTACCTTTGGGAAACAAACCCAGTTTCGATTAGAAATAGGAGGAACTAGGGAGTTAAAACAGCAGAAGGAGGTAGTACATATCGGACTACTGAATGCTATTTCCCTTCCAGACAAATCGTTTGCATTCTCGTGACAAACTTAAGGAGTAGACACCCTCGGAAAAAAATGGAAAGAACATCAACGGATAACAGCGATGATTTGGATTTTCTGCATGTGGGAGTAAATATTTAATTTTTTGGTCTAAATGAACAAATCGATTGGCAAAATACGAGAAAGACTCAGAATTATCACTGAGTTTTGGCTCGTAATGTAATTGGCTGCAGACAAGTCATTTTGTGGACGGTTAAGCAGAGGTTATGTAATGCAAGAACTGAGAATGACATCTCCTTGTCACAGAGCTGCAAACTGGAATTTTGCCTCAATTTGATTAGACGCTGTTTTCCTATAGGATCTTTTTTGAAAATCAACGTCGCTCTTTTTTTAGTGCCCTGCGGCACGCAATTTTGATGTCAGAGGAGGTAAGGCAACTCCTTATTGCGGTTAATGTTTTGTCTTTATCCCTTTATTAGATACACGGTACTCATATTTATTATTTTTGGCACTGCTCAAAACACACTGACTATAGCCTATAGTTTTGGGGTTTAGGCTACTATTCAATCTTCTGAGTTTTGAATCCTTGTAATATGCTTCTCAGAAGTAACGCGGAGCGCTTTGCTTCTAATTTGAATAAGAACAAAAACTCAGACATATTTGAATAAATTAAAGTCAAGAATATGACGCGAGGACACTTGCTTTTAATGGCCTCACTGAAACTTAGCAGATAAAGTAGGCTACCTGCTCAAAACAAAACAGCAAACAACAGTAAGATACTGGTTGTTAACTACGTTGTGTGACTCATGCGAAGACGGACAGTCAACATTTTCAGTGCAACAGTTAGAATTGAAAAAAAATCTCACGCTAATGTGACAAGTTAGATTAGCTTTTGTGAGGTGACTCCGGTTTATTGTTGACTCAAGTGTAACAGCAGGATATATATCCAGGTTGACTCCGAAGGATATATATATATATATATATATCTTTTTTTTTTGTTTTTTTTTGTCTGAGATTGTGCCCATCACTGGCCACCTGCCATGCTAAAGCTGAATATTATTTGGCTTTGTTATGAATCTGCTTGTTAACAAACGTTCCAGGACCACAACAGCAAATATGATCTGCTTAGCAACAAAACATTTACTGAGCTACATTATGTCTGACATTGACATCTCAACTGTTGTGACGTAAACTATTTCATTTCCTGCGTTGTCACAAATAATGCTATGCTGTAAACATTTTCATATTTATTTAGGTTTCCCCATCTTCCCCATGTAAATAATGCTATACACAATAAAATATAAAGATTTACTTTATTTAAGAAATGAGAGTTGCTGCAGTTACCAATTCATGTGGCCCTTCCAATTGTATCACCTGTTTTTGTTACAATTATAAACAGATATGAATATCTCCAAGTGACATGAACAGTACTATTGAATATACAATCATCAAAATGGCTCTTGTTATCACAGTATGTTTTATTGTAAAGCTCAGTCGACAACAAAAACCATTAAATTTTTATATATATATATTGCAGTAATATGATATCAGTGGACACCAAATAACTTAAATGTTTTCACTGATCCTGCTAGGCTTGGGGGTTTGTTGCTCTTTAGCATTGATTTATGTATAAAATCATGGCTCAGAGATCCAAATTATCCAAAATGGCAGCACCCCCAGTATACAGAGAAATTACATTTTACTTCATACAATTTACATTTTTAGTATTAAATTTTGATGCTGATAATGTATTTAAGTGCACTTTTGCAGATTTTCAACCTCTTTGTATTGTATTTAAATGTTGGTAGTATATGTAAATTATTAATGTTTACTCATTTTCCATGTTATCTGGACCGAGAAAATCACGTTCATTTGTAAGGAAAAGTCTTTTGACATCTCCAGGGTTTTTGTGAAAATTACAGGTTTTACATCCACATTTTTGCATTCCTGCCTACGGACAGTCAGATCGACAGAGGGTTATTAACAGAGCAGTTAATGTAAGGGTAGGTTTATCACTGGATTATTTTATTGTACTTTGTCTACTCTTTAAACAGCATTATGTTAAAAATGGAACACTATGGGTAGGGAGCTTGTACTGACAGTACAGTGTTGCAGCGTTCTCTCCATATCCATACCCTAATTCTTTGCTGCCTTTAGCCACTGCCCACAACGCGCTGGATTCTTCTCTGGAAAGTAACTCTCGCTAGACGTTTACTTGCACCCCGGAACAATGCGAGTTGACACCATTATAACAAAAAGTTTGCTAAGCAGTATTTCCTACTAAAGCTAATAAGCAAGGCAATATTTGACTCTGGTAAGCATACATAGCGGACTGGTGTGATGGCCTTGGACTGCGACATGCCCAGTGCATTATAGGTGCTGAAGGTTTCCTACTGATTTGCCAAAAGGAAAGACTACAGCTTTTTTAGTGTTTTCTCTAGTCAGGTAGCACTGATCAGATTTTTTTTTTTTTTTCAGTTTTATTAAATGCCCATTTTGCCAGTAAAGTGCCCATTTAAACATATGCCGTGTGGTATGTTATAGGATCTATGCATCCATGGAACATGAGAGACAGGGGGAATGTGTGGGAGAAATGGATGGTGAAAAGGGTTGTTAAATATGTAGGGTGGCTCAGAGTTTGCAGAGCAGGCTGCTGATACAATATAAGAGTGTGTGATGATCTAACATCCAATAAGGACTGGCAGCAGAAAGACGAGAGAAAGTGAAGAGCACTCAAGCAGGTCCTCCTCATTCCCTCTAAGTCTGCCTTCACTGCACACACACATACACACTTGTACACTCACTGTGGGGTCTTTTACTTTAGTCAGGTGCTCTTCAGCTCTCTCAGAGAAAGTGACTCAAGTCAAATTGCTACTTCAGATTCCAACCACCCCTGATCTCCTACCCAAACCAAAGAACACTGCAGAATTCTAATGATATGTGTAGTTCTTGTGCCTGTTATTATTGCACAAAACACATTCTATTTAACCTGGAAGAGATGTCTAGATGGATTGCAGACCACAGGACTGATCAGTGGGCTGCTGCGCCTGGCACATTGGAGTCTGAATTCCCTAGTGACCACTGACCATAAATTCATAAAAGAACTGTTTCAGCACTGCTCCTGCTCCACACTGTGTTGGTGCTGGCATGCCGAGGGTCTTAATAACTAAGTGAGATTCCCAAGGATCTTTAGAACTCATTAGATGTTTCATGGCTTTGGACACATTGAGGTTTAGTCTGGTAAAGCTGGTTGTGCTTGTTGATGAGATTTGAGGATGTGTGTATGTGTCCCCCAGCTTGGCCACACGTTCAGTGCTGCTGTGTGCACTCACACCTGCTGAAAATCCAGCACTGCCTTTGGGTGAGTCTGCCACATTGTGGAAACTGTGATAGTCCAGACAGATTTATTTTGTTTGTGAGTATTTTTGAGAATTATAAAAGCAGTGGAGAATGAGTGTAACTTGCATTACTGTGGCACTATTTTTTTGTATGTAAAAGTATTCCTTATAGTTGGATGGCGTGGTTTGGTTTAACATATTAGAAAGATCATCTAGTTCAATATTAAGACTTTAATTCTTTTATTCAGTGTAGGTGCATTAAATTGATCAAAAGTGACATTATAGAGACGTGCTTGAGACGTGTTTTGTCTAATGATGCTAAAAAAAAGCTTTGCCGTCACAAGTACATTTTAAAATATATGTGAATAGAAAATTGTATTTCACAATATTACAGTTTTTACTGTATTTGATTAATTCAGTGTTAATTTTGACACATTATGATTTAGTTTTAAATGCAGTGAAAACTTTATTTCTTTATTTTTTCAAAAACAAGCTAACCCCAAACTTTGGTAGTCTGCATTAAACGTGTTAGAAATAAGTTTTTTTTTTAATTTTTTTTTTTATGAGCAACGAAAGCTTTTTTTTTTTTTTTCTTTGTGTGTAATTTATCACTGTAACAGTATTTATGTAGTAGTAAAAAAAAATATTGTAGACAGGGAGGGTATCTGCCACTTTTTGAAATTACCACCTTTTATCTTTTTTGCATTTGTTAAATTACTCTTTAAAAGTAAGGAGATTACGTTGTTAGTGTAAAGCTCTAAAGAATGCAGTTTAGAAGGCAATCTGTCTCTCTCTTCTCATCTCTCGGCTGTGATGTAGGGGATTAGTGCTGTTTAGCTGCAGAATCCACAAACCAAATCACACCCTTCTCTTTCTTAACTGCTCCTAATTGATCGAGTTAGGAGAGAGAGAATGTGAAATATTCCTCATGGCCACCAGCTGTTTTCTCTGGAAAGAAGAAAGCACACTCTGCATACAGAGCAGCTGCAGGTGCTGGCAGAGGACCTCAATGAGAACACTGACAGCATCTGCCTTCATCCAACTGTAGAGGGCAAGAAATCTCCAGCTGCCCTTGAACCAATCAAATGCACCAGGCTGTTTTTATTTTTCTTTGCGAATTATTTTGGAAAACTTAAATTGGCAGTGCAGCTCCACATAACAGGTGGTTTGAGAGAGAGTTTTGCATGTTTCAACAGGGTCAGAATGGTTTATAAATTAAAAAAAAAAAAACATTTACCCTGGCCTGCATCTAAGAGAACAGAAGTCATTTTTCAATTAGAGTTGACGGTTTGTGGTGGCGTGAGTGAGTTTATAGGCGCAGTTTTGCTATTTGACAAAGTTATGCAAATGAGCAGTGATGTGATGATGTGACCAGCAATGTTTTCAAAAAAAAGTATTACGTCAAAACCTGTGCAATGACTTTGATTAATACGTTGTTAATCATTCATCATTCATGAAATGTTATATTCACTGTTGTAATTAATATACAAAATCTTTCCTTTGCTGAATGTTCATTTTTAGCAGCAAAAAAATCGTATTTTTTTACCAGCAATGCATCATGTGGTGGTGTCTTGTCATAAGTGTCTTTTAGCATTTTGTTTCTCCACAACTTTTTGCCATGGATGATTGTGTCCCCACCACATGAAATAATTTGCAGCGGGAATGCATGTAATAGAAGAAGCATCCCCACTTGTCATGCTTGAGCTTATTTTGTTTTAATGAGCAGTGATCCAACTCTTTTATTTTTGTTGTTTTCAGAATGTTCATTGTGATTGAGAGAAAACTGCTGCTTTTCCCATTTTGAGGACAAACACGCTCACTCTAATGTTTTTCTAAAGAAACCCTAAATGGTTGAGTTTTACAAAAATTCTGACCAACAGCCAAATATGTATGAAGTTTTGAAATTTGCATATGTCCCAAGCACATAATTCCTCATTTAAAAATCCTGTGCTATAAGTACACCTTGGGGTGTCATAATATACTACCCTATAAAAAGGAAAAAGATACAAGATAATGCATTGTGTAGCTACTACAGCTGCACAAAATCATGTCGGTGAGATGAAAGATGAAAGCAAGATGCTCTAATTGCA